GATCAGCTGGGCTCCAAGGATGCGAAGGAGGTGCTTAGGCACTTCAGTCATGCAGGCCTTGCAACTCAGTTCAGCAGCCTTGCCAGGGTTCACGAGGGTGAACGCCCCGAATGCCAAAAACACAGCACTGGTCAACTGGTAGCCTTTCTCTGTAGCCCATGTGCCTGTGAGTTCCAAACAACACAAGCTTGGCACATTGCAGACACAATTCGCCAGCACATATTGAAAAAGGGGAACCTGCGTGTGTCTCGCTGTTGAGGGCGTTTGCTTGCTGCACTGTTGGATTGAATCTCAACAGCCATCCTATTCTTCGACCGCCTGATTATTTGGCACAGTCAGAGTCGCTCCCGTTGATATGTCTCGAATTTTCGGGCAAGCACCGTTGTGTTTTTGGCTGAGTTTCCCTGCAAATCATGTTGCCAACACCAAGCAAGCGAATGTCTGCCACCAAAAGGCAGGTGTCAGGCCTGGCCACACGCTCCACAACCACTCGAAAACAACCAACTATTCTGTTGCCATTTGTGGATGCGATCGCGTGGCAAGTCGACATCATCAGGGAGCGACGGTTTGCTTAAGCGGGCGGCTTTGGCAGTGTCGCTTCAATAACCGCAAGATGTTCTTCTCCACGAGCATACTGCCAATTCCACGAATACGTAACCGCCTTCCGCCAGCAGTAATCAAGCCGCGATCCTGAATTCTGCATAGGCTTCGTCTGCCAAACAACCAACACACTGCACGCTTCGGAAGAGCGTTCGCCTTAGTCTGGCGAACGCATATTTCTGGAGGTTGGTGTGGGTGGGCTGTGGGGGCGGTTTCTTGGTCTTGCTGACCCTTGTGATAGGCACCTCGTTTGGTCGTCGACAGCCCCGTGTGGGGTGTTTACTGCACACCCTCTCGCGGAGTTGAGCAACGGCCTATCGGATGGCATCCTGTGCACAGGACCCAAAACACAAACCCATCGCCCAATCCCCGACGTTCGTGCGCACCATCGCCTCCCGCAGCCGCCGGAACCCACGTTGGCACAGTGGGCGCAACCTGCACACACCCACACCACGCTGTCGATTACTCCACCGACGGGGTAATACAAGGAACCGCCGATCGCCACGCCTTGAGCATCAGCAACAATTGCGCGCTTTCGGTGGCCGCACTGCGAGGAGTTTGATGACCAGTGCGCCACGCCGTGGCCGTGACACAGGTGGTGTTGGACCGCGACGGTGAGTGGAGGCGGAGGAGGCCGCCGCCGAGGGATCAGTCGGCTCCTGTGAGAGGAAGCTGCTTTTCTGGACTCTGGTGCGTCACGCGTCGCCAGCGAGATTTCCTACTGAGGCTCCCAGGTCTGTTCTGCGGTCACTAGATCCCCGCATTCCCAATTCCAAGGAGCACCCCAAAGCCACATCAAGTCAGACCCTCACGGCAGACGCGAAAACCAGCAATCAGAATGCGTCAGCCCCGCCCAACGAGCCTTTAGGCCCAGTCCAGCGAATCAGGTTCCGCGGTTCTTCTGATCTGGGAATGTCTGCATCCGACGCGGCACCCCGTGGCGCTGACGCTGGCGCTCCCACGCGAGTCGGCGCACCTGCTTGGGCCGCAGCGGGGCGTGTTGCTCTCCTCGGCCGGGCGCGCGGGCGAGCCTCTGCGGAGTTCGCGGGAGGCACGTCGCCGAAGCAGCGGCAGCCGGCACGCGCCTCAGAGGGGAGCCCAATGCCCAGGGAGCTGGCGCGGGGAAGAACAAAAACACACGTCGGCAAGCTTGGCAAGAAAGTCTGGGGGCGAGGAAAATTACCGGAACGGGGTGAATGGCGCGATCTGCGATGACGAGGGGGTTAGGAAAAGGCGGAGGGAGGCGTTGAGGCTGGCTGGGGAAGATGCTGCGGTCGGCCGGCCTGTGGAAGGAGGTCGAAATGAAGGAGCGAGGCGGGTTGGTGCCGTGTGCCGCGATGTACGGATAAGTGGCAGGGCCGTCGCGTCTGAGGGGTGCAGGGGGTGCGCGTGCAGGGGAATAGACTGGATAAGGGTGTGCGCGAGGCGACCTGCGGCCCGCGAGAAATGAAGAGGAGAAGCAAAAGGGGATCGCCATCTCGCGGGCGGTCGATCGCCGTCGATGGCGTCGGGATCCATGCCAGATGCCCGTGCCGTCATCGCCTCCCGATTTCGGCCCACGGCGCGAAAAAGGGGCCGCCCATGTCCCCACGGGGACCGAGAGGCAAATTTTAACAAGCGCCTCGTCGCGCGACAATTTCCATTCTGCGGACGCGGGGTCCAAAAACCTCGCTCGGCGCCTCGTGGGCGCCGCCTGGCCGTACCGGGCGCCTGCGAGCGAAGGCACATTCCCGTCCTCATGGTGGCGCGGCGCGTCGTCTCTGCCCCGGGTCGGTCGCTTCGCCCGCAAATCGGCGAACGCCCCCCAGGGGAGATTATATGTTTGGAGATCGGTGCGGGGCGCGGAACACGTGTCGGCCCCGGTCTCGCCGGTGGAGACAGTGCGGGTCGGCCAGATTGCAAAAGGCCGCCAATCTGGCATCCATGCGGGGGCTGATGCCCAGATGGGAGCAGCACGCCCAAGCACCGCAGCCGGGGACAAGAAGATGGGGAAGGATGGAAGATGATGGGGCGGCCTGCTGCTGTGGGCTGGCCTGGCTGCTCTCTCTTTGCGGCAGTGGGCTCGATGCACGGTTCCAGAGCCGTGTTGGAACCGGCTCATGTGACCTGTGAGTCCGCCGTAAAGCAAACGGTGTGGAGGGTCACACTATTCTGTCTGTGTTGAATCCGTTTCAGCCAATTCTGTTGACAATCAAGGAAAAAGCGTCCTGGGCACATCCGGCACCAGTTGCATCGCTGCACGGATCGCACTCACGCCTAGGAGGGCGATTTCAAGCCAGAACAAGGTCAAGAGGGACGTTGAGGACGGCCCATGCTCGCCAGAGTGCAACCTTTCCTTTCTACCTCTCGACAACTGCGCAAAATCCATGCGCCCATGTACAGTTTTGCTCTGCGACAGAGACAGAGGTATGTCGATGCTCGGTACAGGAATGCGGATTCCGATAGCAAGGCCTGCTACGATTCGCATCTAGTGGCGCCCCAGCTCGTCCACGTTCGCCATTGCCCGTGTTGCAAATATCAGCTTGCTAACACAGCACAAACAGCGTCATATCCACCTCGGTCCCAGTCCCTTGTCCCTTGTGTCCCAGGCCTGCGGAACTTGGGGTCGCTCAAGACGACCACACCAGAGCGCTGGTTGCCCTAACGACAGGCATATTAGCCACTACCCCAGCAAATCCAAGCAAAGCCTGGCCCTGGCCCACCCTCACTCGGAGGGCTTACGTGCATTAAAATAGTGCCAGGAACTGTGGAGGCCTACAAAGATGGTCGGCCACACCGACCAGGCGATGCTCTGCTTGGTAGCCCAATAATGATAGAACTTGAATGCACTGTTGATGAGCGCCACAGTGGCAACGGTCAGGTTCAGGCTCTTGAAGGTGGACGCCGCCAGCCGGTCCCTGTCAGCCGCGTCCTTCAAAATGAAAGCTGAGGCAGCGTAGTAAGAGAGGAACAGGCCCAGGTCGCGCACCACTGCAATATCCTTAACTGCAAGGGATGTTGTCAGGCCCTTGGCGTGGGAATAGCTCGCCAGCGTCAGGGGCCCCGCCACGGAAGGGTCCACAAGGAACCAAACCACAAAGGCACAGAATACCGCAGTGATCACTGAATACAGAATGGCAGGTCCGCTCTTGGGGTCGAGCAGGGATCTGGCCATCTGCAGGCCGCTGCCGATGATTTGGAAAGGGTTGAATGGCAGGCTGTTGAATGCCAGAATGTAGAGGAGCGCGGCCGCCACGGGCGTTCCAATCGTGACGGCTGCCAGCCAAGTTGACATGGCCGCGCCAGCCTTCAAGAGAGGGTACTTGAACGCCAGGTTTGCGAGCCTCTCCAAGGCTAACCATTGGGCCATTCGCCTGTACGTGGCAGACCCCAGGCGTTTCTTTGCCACAGCATCCTGTCAACATGGCAAACAGCATACGTTCCCACCTGCCACTGGCAGTTAACACAAAAACCAAATGCTGAGCGCAGATGCACGCATGCCATGCTCAGGATCCACACACACAGACGATGGTAGACAACAATGGTGTGGACACATGGAGATCCACGACTGCAGAATGCAAGCAGAACATCTTCCAGTCTCCATGCGCCATGCAGGCCAAACACTTCAGCACAGACCAATTGTGAGGGGCAATATCGCCGCGGCACAACGGTAGCAGGCTCGCACTTCCTGTGGCAGCTCTACAGTCCATGATGGCAACAGTTCACACTGCATCGAGTGTGCTTACAGCGCACTTCCAGTCCCGCGATGCAGACAACTGGCAATGTACTGTGGGGCTCCACAAGCAGTGCGGGGCTGTTGCGGCATCGCACCTTGACGCAGAATGCGAAGAACCCAACGAAAAGGAAGAATGTTGCGTTCAGTTGTTGAATGTGGCCAACAAAAGGACTAACTTCCATGGTCAGGGCACTCGGGCCCCATGTGCTGGGGTAGAAGATCCCCGACAGCGCAACGGCTGTGCACACCACCCCCAGCAGCCCGTACCCGACTTCTGTGAACCACTGCAGCGGCCCTGCACACGCCACAACCATGGCTTCTCAAGGCCCTGGTGCAAGGTCAATGATGTACCTGCATCTTCAGCAGGAGTTCGGACAACAGTACGTGCTGACACGACTCGCCACGCACCTGAGCCTGTCCCACGGGCACTGCTGCATGCCAGTCATGGTCGACAGATGCAGCTGGCTGTACGGCAAAAAGTGGCCCCAGAGGGAATGCTGCAGAGGCTAACAGGGTTGTGCACTGGAGGGAACCAGGGACAAGAGGAAAGCCAGGACAGCGCGAAGCTCTTAGACGCGCTGCATCGTTCACCATGGGCCAATGGATGCGGGGATATGCTTCGCCGTGGTTCAGCGTAAGTGCGGTCAGCACGGACATCGATCAGCAAGCTGCTGACACTCTCTGCGCAGCTGTGCTCAAATCCCTTTTTCGTGCGCTGCACTGGGGCGCGGGCGCTGCGGGCGTCGATGTTGCGTTGGACTTCCGTCGCCACGACGACCGTGGCCACAAGGCTGGCAGCACATTCGTCCGGGGACCGCAAGGGCTCTGTTCAGCTCAACTGGAGGGAACCGGCGGCACGAGAAAAGCAAACAGGCGCGGACGGCATCAACTACTGAGGCCGCTGATCCACCTATGGACTGCTATTGGCCTGCTTTGCTGAACGCCAGTGTGATGCGAGTGACACGGCATTCCGTTCCGCCTTTGGCGGCCACTGCCGGAACGTGGGCATGTCCCTCGATCCAAGCGGCACCGGGCCAAAGTGCAGCAACGTCAATGCTCAATCTGCGTTCCTGTGCGCAGCGCGATCCAGGATCTGATCAGTCTGCCCACCGTCGCGGCGACCATCCACCATGTTCACGACGCTTGTCGCCAACGGCGCCGTGGCAGCTCGCCGCTGCCACCGCTACGCCTGGAAGGCGTGTCTGAGAGGCCGGCCGCTGTGTTGAAGTCGCGGGGCCGTGGGGGGCCAAAAGGCAGGAAATTGCGGTGCCTGTTCCAGGAGCAGTGACCGCGGCTAACTGTGCAATGAGCGACCGCTGTGGGTGCCGCACGGAGGGGCCGGCACTGAGAATATATTGGTCTCTCCGTCTTCCGAGAGGACCCCTTTTCTTCTGCTGACAAGGCCAACGACGGTCAGTGGGTCAGTGGTTTAGGTTTTATGGTTTCCGAAACAAGGTGTCTTCACGGAAAAGGCAGAGCGACCAATTTCATGCCGGCGGTATTGTCGCGAATATGGTGCGCTTGACGTCAAATGGACGCCAGGAAAATCGCGCAGTTGTCGCAGAATGGACACAGGCCAAGATGAGGACCAACCCCGCCCCGCTGCTGGCGTGTACGAAATATCTTGGCTGCAAGAATATTCAACCCTTTCGCATTTCGAAATTTCAGCGTTCCGTTTCTGCTCCACGTTCTTTGGCAGACCATTATTTATGTCGTGCGTACCACATCATGCCAAACGGGCCCAGGTTGGGCGGCACAACCTGCTAGCCAATATATTTTTCATGCATTTCGCGGGACCCAGAAGAAAAGGGGGTTTGTCACACACAAGAGAAAGAAGGTCTTACAAAGGGCACCACTTCCTGGAGTGTGAAACTCAGTTACATACTGTGGGAAGATGATGTGGAGTCTCCCAGTGCAAGAAGACGTGCAATGCAAAGAAGTTTCCCTGGTGTCAGTTTGATGCAGAGTGTACCAAAATCGACTAACTGTCATCCATGACAAGCCCAAATCGTGTGTTCATAGCCTGAGGCCAGTAGTTGCCCAACAGGAATTCTGTTCTCCTGATGGTACTCCCACTGACTTGTGTCATCAGCACAGGGGCAGCATCTGTCATCATCATCCATGTGCTCAAGCGAGCTGCTATTGTTTTGCAAGCCATGTGACATTAAACCAAGGGTGTACGTGGGAATGAATGGTTACACGAAAGTCGACACCATGGTAGTGGACTGCAACATCCTTGAACAAGGGTTTCGCCCTCATAAGGGTGGCAAAGCACACATTTTTGTGCTGTCAACTGACCAAGAACTGAGGTCCCCAATGGCATGAAACATCGAACAAACACACTTGTTCGCTTTGACCAAAGGTCAGTATGCCAGTCTTGCTTGAGCAACCCAGCATGCTTGGGGCTTGCCACCGAATTTAGGTATAGTGGTGCATCACGTTGTATCCATTTCCTCACTGTTGAAGAACGACCTGGCCAGTGCCTCAAATTTCAAGCCATGAAATGTGCGATCCATTCGACTATTGATTTTGGCAAACTTGCTGCTCAAGAAGCCAGAAAAGCGTACCTTCATCTGCTGATTCTGCAGACCCTCCTGTGGCCCCTGCTAGACACACCTCTCTGGGCTGTGCAACAACAGGCTGCAACAAATACCTGTTTGTCAGATGCTGGGATTGCAATGACTTGCATTTAGCCATGGATGGTCATACTCATTGTGCATCGTGTACGGAGTCCTTCGGTCCCTCAGACACAAGAGCAGGGTATTGTATTCCTGGATGCTAGGCTCAATATTTTCAGTGCAAACTGCACATAAGCGTCTGACACATTTTCTGACCGTTGCAGCAGGTTTTGTGAGCATAGTTACATGGGATGGCCAAGTGTCAGGCCCATTCTTGTGAACCTTTGTCGATCAGGCTACAATCTGCACACCAACTTGCCACACGTTCACCTCTGGTTGTTCCCATGTCAAGAGCTGCCCAAAAGCATCCCTGGCCCAAACTGCCTCTCAAGGATCCCATTGATTGGAAGGAAACAGGCAAGAACTGCTGTATGGTATCCTATTCAGTAGCCATGACCGGGAGTCCACAACAGATGGTGAACTGACAAGATGGATCACTGGAGAACGTAATTGTCCTCCAGTGCCTTTACAGTGGCAGCCTTTGTTGCAATTTGGTTCTGGCTTTGAGGGTATGCTACAAATAATATAGTGGGCGGTAGCATGCTTGATGATGGTTCCGGAACAACCCAGACTGCTGGCAGACGTCTGCGGCGTCGAGTTACAGATCTGGTCAGATCAGTCGACGGTTTACAGATCTGCATAGCCGTATTTGTAACCTTGCAGCTCTTGGTCCTTTTCAACATAACGCAGTGGCTCTGGCTTCACAGAAATGTTGGCAAACACATCGCTGCTGCAGGAATCAGAGAACACCAACAAATAGGGACGCACATGCACTTGGGCCAAGACATGCCCACAGCAACATGCCTGTCATTTCCAGCGAGGACAGTTTTTTGGGACAACTGGAACATAACAGATTCCCCGAGGGCACATCGATGCTACCCAAGACAAACGAGTCTAAGCTTCTGGGCATAATGCACTGATCAATGTGGCCGGATTTTTTTTTCACGATTCCAGTCATAGAATGCCCCTGTCGTTTCATTGCAAGCGAGTGCAGCAATTCAAACTTTGTCCATTGTCCTTAACAAATCATGCTGGCCTGTTATTCCCAACAATTGCAACATATTCAACGAATCAGGACGGTTCTCATGCAAAAGAAATGCCATGGGCCATTTACTGACTCAATAACTGATCCATGGCAATTCCTTCGGCACGGCTCAGAGCCATGCAGTTTTGCTTTCAACCATTGACATGGCACCAAAACGTCAAGCTGGCAATAAGCTCACCACCCGCCGGCATGAATACAACAGTGGCGTGATAATACGTATTTAAGCGCAAATAAGCATAATAAAAATGGAGCATGCGGCGTTTCGCACTTACTGAGGCGGTTGGTCGCAGCCGTGCAAGTTTCAGCACCCCGCAGGTTGCCACAATTTCGCCGACCCCCCCCTGTCCCTGACTCCAAAACACCCCACACAATGATGACTAACGCGACCTCAGAACCGCCTTACGCTGGCTGCGGCACCCACTCGACCGCGCACGGGCGTCCAACCTGCTTCGGGACCAGCCCCGCGGGCGCACCGCTGCGGCCGCCGATCCGCCCCGGCCTCCGCGCCTGCGCCAGAATTCTGGGAATGGGCGCGGCCGGCAGTGCCCCCTGCCTCAAGGAACCGCCTAATGCCATCGGACCTGCACCAAACATGGGAAACCCTTCTCGGTTCAAGAACGCGTGCTTTTCAGATGGGTCGATTGAGCAGGAAGAATTTGCCGGCCACATTCATCCGGCAGAACCAAGCCGGCGTTCTTCGATGCGAAGGCTTGCCAGGTTGCAACGACCTGGTGCACCAGATTTTTCCGCCAAACGGATAGGCGCGCCCGAAAGTTCGCTTCAGAATCCACAGCCCGCCCAGCGCAGTGCGCCACTCCCAGCATTGCTTCGCCAGGCGATCGACAACAACACCCTTCGACAAAATTCATGCCAGCACTGCACTGCTAAGATCGGCCAGGAGCGCGTGCATTGGTTCCTGGGCCCCCTGGTGGCCTTGATGGCGGCGCGCACATGCTTACCGGCCATGTGGCTGCGCCCGCGTGGGCAGCGTGCGGGCGTCATGGCGGCCATGCGGCGTGCCGCGGCGCCTAGCGGGTCGGCCGTGGGCAGATCCCGCGGGGAGCCGCAGATCGCGGGGGGGAAAGGGACAACACGTCAGGGGCTTTGGGAGGGGGCTGCGACAATGGACGATGGGGGACATCTTGAAATGTGGGGGGCCAGATGGGCAAGGCTGTTGATGGGTGGCTCGCCGGTTGGCACTGGGGAAGCTGGACCCGCGGAGCCGGTCTGGGACCGAGAGGCAGCGGAGTTGAGCTGTCTGTAATTCAGACAGACGCCAAACGAAAATGTCCTTTACGGCCAGGCCAACCATTCAGTCCATGTGTCGTGGTCGTGTCACATCAGCGTGAGCCGAGGCGGCTGCTCGTCTTCTGCGCCTCGACGGAGCGGAAACAGAAAATTGGTGCGCAGAGATTGAGATGATCAGCGCGCTGTGCTGTGGGCTTGGCTGTGGCAATTCCGTTGACGCAGCAGTTATTGGCCTGGGGCTCAGGATAACGTGTGGCAAGCTTTAGCACTGCGTTCTCGTATTGCAACGTAAATTTGTATTTTAGGGAGGACACTCTTTGGCTTAATTACACTCAACGGACAGCAAGCTCAGGTTGCCCCTCACCCCCCTCACCCCCGGTCCAATCCTGACTTTGATCCCCTGGCAGCATTAAGGTCAGTACGTTACATAATATTGACCAACAGTGCAACAGAAGTTTGGGTACTGCTTTGCTGGATTGTTGCAACTATACTCCTGCACAGTGTGTCCCCACAGCGTAGCCAGCTGGGAAGTCTGTCCCGACCCTTGCGCCATTCACTACAGCATGGCGCTGTCAAACGTCCCGCCTATATAGTGTGCAGCCGTGCACAGAGGGCAAAGCAAGGTTACAGTCTCACGGCAGGTCATCCACGGATATGCAGTCATTTGGTTTACTTTGGCAACACGTTCACGCTTGTACATAGCGTCCCGTCCATCGGCACACTCGTACATAATACCACATCATATCATCATACCATTCGGAACATCTGAGCATTTTATCACCATGCTTACTATATATTAAGTACCACCACCCCCATCGCTCTTGCCCGCCGCTCAACATCTCTGACCACGCCAGTCTACTAATCCAGTTTCCAGCTTCAGGCCCCATTGGTAGAGCAGTACCCGCCACTGCCGCTGCCAGCTGAGGATGATCGTCAATTCACTTTTTGCGCATGAGGCACCCATAAAATCCGTCGGAAAAAAGTTGCATATCCTGGATATACATATCCAGGATATGGCCATATCCTAGGATATGGCCTCCTTATCCTGGGATATGGTGCCCATATCCAGGATATGCATATCCAGGATATGGCCGTATCCCTCCATATCCTGGATATGGCCTCCATATCCTGGATATGCATATCCGGGATATGTCCATATCCCAGGATATGGGCTCCCATATCCTGGGATATGGCCATACCCTCGCCCTTATCCTCACCATATCCCGCGATATGGGCGCCCATATCCCAGGATATGGGCTGCCATATCCTGGATATGGCCATATCCTCGCCCTTATCCTCACCATATCATGCGATATGGGCGCCCATATCCAGGGATACGGGCCATAGGAAATGGCAGCGTGATAGGGACGGACGCAATGCCAGCGATCGCCTCTGCAACGCTTGGCCAAAGCCAGGCCTTCCCAGGTGCGAAGGCCGTATTTGACGTGCAACTTTGACTGGTCTACAGCGCCGGCGCGGGCGCCCTTTACCAGTTCGAACTACTCTTTCAATCGGTCAATAACTGTCAGTCTGCGTACTTTGTGTACGCAAAATCATAAAATGATCATTACAACATCATTACATAATGATTACGGCAGTGCTGCGCCAATAGATAACGTCCGTTAGTTTGATTATTCTGGTTTCTGTCATTCCCGCCAAACCTGGCAACCCCGTGCTGTGCCACCAAGTTCGCGCGGCGTGGAGCAACGGCAGCCATCGGCCAGGCGAGACACGGCGCATAACGGCGGCGATGTCATGGCGCGGGTTGGAGGCCTGGTGGTGGGATGCGCTTGAAGGTGCGCGGCGGAATGGTGGGAGGGTGGCGTGGGGTGGGAGGCGTGCGCGGCCATTGGGCAGATCGCTAGGCATTTGTAGTGGACGCGATGCTTCTCGCCTGTGTGTGCCTATGAGACCCCGCGCTCCAAGCACAGGCACGCGCGGCCGACGGCCCACGTCCGAGTCGCACGGCTCCCTCCCCGCCTAGCTGGCCAACAAGAAGCAGCGCACTGGGCAATCCAACGACGAGGTCCCGCCCCCCGCCCTTCCCGCCGCCCGCCTGGCCCGCCGTCCGCATCCGCATCGCTGCGTGGCGGTGCAGAGTGTTCTCACTTCTCGCTTCGCGGGTGGCAGAATGTGGATGATCCGCGGCTGCTGAGGACTAGCAGGGAGATCGCTCGGCCGGGGCTGCTGCTCACGACCGACCACTAGGCGTTCGTATTTCCGGACAGGCCCTCACCGCCGTGCAGCCCACCGAATGAAGTGCGCTCCCGGCCTCCCCTCGCTGCACCACCCAATCGTGGCACCCCTGCCGCCTGTGGCTGACGGTCGCCGCGTGTGGTCGCCCGTGACTGTGCAGGAATGGTACTACGTCTGCGAGCTCGGCGACAACCTGTCCTCACGATGTAAGTGCGAAAACTGGTGCTTTGTGTGCCTGGGAAGTGCTGCCCCTGCGGTTCTGGGCATGGGTTTATGAGTCGTGCCTTTGCCATTTGGACGCAGGCAAGGTGCTTGCGAGGATCGGAGAAGGCAGGCGGTTGATTACCAGCTCACCGCCGACGAGGGGCAACGGACTGCAGCTGCTCGCCTCGGCTGTGGATCCGCGCCGCTTCTGATTAGGGCGAGTTCCATTGCAGGGTCCTGGTTTTATTACCGAGGACATGTGTGCATGGTGAGTGTCCTGCTGCTGTGTAGGAGGCTTGATGCATCCAGATTCCAGCAAGGTGTTCACTGTTGTTTACATGTCCTGCTGGAATGTGGAGGTTTGAGCATGGTTTAGAAGTCAAATTATGTGGGGATGTTCGCTGGGGATGTTCGCTGTATTGCTGGTGGCATTGTTCAAAGTCATTGTGCTGTAGCCATGTGCCATTGCGATGGCACTGTGATCATATCCATGCACTGTTCTTCTGACGTTGCAAAAGGTTTTCCCCAGCACTTGTATTCATGCCACAAAGACTTGTGACACTTGCTTCCAGTCTGCACATGTCCATATTGGCAAGCTTGTCAGTTCATGGAGGGAAATGATCGAAAAGGTTTCCTCCATTCTGGCCTGCAACTATTGGAAGGGCTTGGAGCCAGCCTGTACGACTTCCTGCAGCAGAGTGACTACCATCCAGTTTGCATTCCTGTGGTGCAGCAGTATGGTCGTCTGTTGCTGGAAGCCATTGCGTACATGGCAGTTTGGTGGATCTTGGGTGATATCAGAGTGTTTGGCAGTACTCAGCAAACGGCATGGTAAGATGGTATTCATGGCAATGTTGCACAGTTTGTTATGTGTCAGGGCAGGGTGCTGGTGTGTGCTGACACTGCAAGTGTGTGTGGCAGGTGGAGAGGCGGTGATGGCAAGGATGACGTGGTGATGTCGACACAGGTGGTGACCACTCATGGGCTGCTGTTGGAGTGTTGCATGACGGTGCCTAGGCTCAATTGGGGTGGCAGTCTGGCAGGCATCGGTGCAAAGGAATGGTTAATTGGAGTTGTATTGTCACTGCATTCATGATAGGTAGTTGCTTAAAGAACTGAGAGGTGGATGATTTGATGGGTAGTTTCTTGGCTAGAGATATGAACGCAAATTGATTTGTAGTTGTTGTAAAATCTGTAAAACAATTCGTTTTCATAGATTGCGTGTGCCTCTCGTTGGCGACCCTGTGCGCCCAGGCAGCCAGCATATTCATGCCGTATCCCTGCAATATCCCAGGATATGAGCTCCACATATCCAGCATATGGACATATCCTCGTCCATATCCCTCCCATATCCTTGCCATATCCCAGGATATGGGCGCCCATATCCTGGGATGTGGCCGTATCCTCTTCATGCCCTCCCGCCTTTCTCGCCGCTTATCGGGATATGGGCGCCCCATATCTTGGGATGCTTCCGCCACTATCATCCATATCCCTCATCCTCCTCACCATATCCCAGATGATATGGGCGCATCCCCGGCCGTATCCATGGGATACGGGACCGACCCTATCGAGGATATGCGTATCCTCCCATATCATATTCGATATCCTGGATATGGGTGAGGATATGGGCGTTTCCATATCCTAGGATATGCAACTTTTTTCCGACGTCCATGTCAGCTCTCAGCCCTACCCACCGCCAGTTTTCCCTAATGCACGCACCTTGTCGCTCCATCTCCTGCATGTCCATTCATGATGCGCTCGGCTGGCAATTACAAGGCGTCGATCATCATCAAAAGTTCAGATATTCGAAGATTCGGCTACCGATCACCGAAATTTATGACCCTCTGGTCGAACCCCTATCCCGTAGACTCAGGCTTGGTTTTTACGCCGTAAACCACAAAACGTATTTATGCTCTTACTCGAAAAGTAGTTTTTACCTTTTTACGCGTTAAAAATCCAGATTTTCCAGGGGTAAAAATACGCAAACACAACGTAAAAACTGTCGTTTACATCATGCCTGTGCTGCGTGGTCAACCCGTTACCGTCTGTCCCCTGCGCCCGCCGTGAGGCACCAGGGAGTGTATGGGCCGTCCACCAAGTCTTTAAGGACGTGAAAGGCTTGCAAGCCACCTGCGCATACTGCCAGCAAGTCGTGAAAGGCGGTTAGGGGTGACGATGCTGCCATCTCGCTGGCATTATCGGCTCTGGCGTCGCAACATGCACATGCACTGTCGAAGTGCCACAGGAGGTCAGGGAGGTGCTTGCGCGCCATGACGCGGTGCGTGGGAAGAAACACGAATGGAAGAAGCGTGCCAAGGCCAGAAGCCTGATCACCACAAAGGCGCAGCCTGTGAGCACAGGGCTGGCCATGGGTGGCATCAGTTCGGTGCCAGCCGCCAGAAAGACGTGGACCTGGTGCCAGGCACCACTTCAGACCCAATCGTGGATGCAATGAAGATTGTGGGGAAGGAGATTGTTGGCCAGGCATGGGCCCTGGCGTTCTATGGTTGTAACGTACCTTCGAACGTCGTTGCAAATGTTGCAACTTTGTTGCGGGTGCTGGAGATGGCAGAGGACTGCTCATTGTGAGCGATTTTCATTGTGTAACCTTGTGTCTCAACAGGACGTAAAACCTTCAAAATAGGCGTAAGAAAACCGTTCTTGCAAATTTACATCCTTGCGTGTAAAAATGTAAAGGCCAAAACGTAAACATAAACGCAAAACCCCTGCCTGTGTGGACTTGCCCCTGCAAAAAAAGGAGCCAAATCCGCTGTGCACAACATGAGCGCCTTCTGAGGTATTGAATAATCATGCATCAATCATCATCGCGGGAATTGAAGAGGATGCTAGCAGGGTCTTTCGCCACACCGTGAGGGACGTTTTCGGCCTTTCCCTACCTTTCTTTCGTTCCAGTGCAGTCACATAATATCGTAGCAGCCACGCTCTCGGTTGCTCCGCTCCTTGCGTCCATTGGGAGCTAATTGTGCCAAAATCAAAATTGCAGCTTTATTTCAGCAGCAGCAGCAAGGATTGTTACTTCAGATCCAGAAGCCATGCAAGGGCAAATGCCCTGCCGCTACCGAGCTGTGTTTTGCTGCAGGCAAGCGTGGCAAAGCCCACCCAGAAAATGCCGTTCTCCTCTCGATAAACCACGCTGGAGGACGCCGGGGCCGTGGCAGAGGGCTTCTTCCGCATAGGAAACCCTTTGGGAGTAGAGAAGCTGTCCGAAATTCCATCTTTTCCGCCACCGGCCTCAAGAAATGACGCAAAACCTCATAGGGGGCCAGGCCGGTGGGCGGCATGCTGCGAAACTCCCAAGTCCCATGGATTTTTTGGTGAAGCAGGATATACTTTGCTCTTGTAATACACATAAATGTTCTTTTCTAAACGGATATTTCATTCATTATGTAATAAATGGATAATTAAAATGCTATAAAATCAATAAGAAGCATGGGCGAATTGCTAATGAATTAGGCGTTGGTAATGAATTGGGCGTTGCACCACAGAAGTGCCCAGCTGATTGGGACAAGCCGCCAACATGTTGCCGGCACAGGCGATGCAGCCGCGGGAAGCGCTCTGTGCGGGGGGAGCTTTGAGACGCGGCACGCGCCCCGCCTGGCGCTGACGGTGAACAGCACCGGAAGACAGCAGCGCCGCGAGTCGTCGCGCCATGAGTGCGATTCCGTCCAAAGAAATCACCACTGCCCATGTCGCCGGCGTGCGATTTGGACTGTACACAGATGACGAGGTGCGCGGGGCGGCGCGGCGTCTGTTGTGCGGATTGGAACGCATTTTCGAGGTCATTGGCCCCGTTCGCCGGGTCGCCATCGCGTGCAATCCCCATCACAGGACTGGCCGCGGGTCCTGTGGCAGACTGAACACATCAATTGGATCCTGTGGATCCAGTTGGGTGGCAGATCCTTGGCAAAATTAACAACTGCATCCTCCCTCCGAGTACTGCCAGCGTTGCCATTTCTTTTCCTGGGATGGCTGTCTCTGGGCCAGCCAATGAAAGTGCACAACATGATTTCCTGCCCACAAAAGGTGTTCCATCCAATTCGCAAGCAAGATCGTTGGTTTGGGCATGAAAATAGATTATTGGGACTCTGCATTGCACACCAGAAATTACGGAATGAGTTGGTGCTAAGATAGGGGCATACCAGAATGGCAATTGCGCACATCAGCATTTCCATTGTAATAGATACCTGTTGGGTTCAGTGTGAATCGGAAATGCTATTGCCAGCGAAGTGGCAAACTGTGACATTGCCCAATGAGCTAAAAGGGCCACAAATTCACAAAATGCCGGCAACCAATTAATTCTAAGTCGAGCGGCAACTGCTTGAAAATTGGCGGTATTGTTGATCACAGCTGGTTGAAAACATGAAACCCAGTTGATTGCTTGCATTTGCGTTGTCAATCTCAAAGTACACTGATTGTAGCCGGGACTGCTGGCGGAATGCAGATAAGGAAGCTTAGTGTGAAGGAGCTAACATGCCCCATCGTTTGGGACAATCTGAGGAACCCAGTGTCTGGTGGTGTCTATGACCTTGCTCTTGGACCTCTGGAGTCCCTTGGAGCGTGAGTATGCCTGCTGAGGGAGGTTGTCCACTCCATGACCTGTGTTCTTATCTGCTCAATAGACGATCGCCACATCCTGAGTAGGTCAACTGAGCACTTTGACATTGAATGGCGCATGGCAATTGCCCTTTGCATCTGTGATTTTTGTTCGAAAATTATTTAGACTACATCTTGCCTTTCATCTTCAAGGCGGTCTCAGGTAGTTTTTTACTCCAAGGGTCACACACAATGGGCATCAAGGCATCACACAGGCCATCCACAGTGTAGCGCATTGGCTTTATTGCAAAAATGTGCGATGTGGACGACCTTCACCCCTCAAGCAGTGGGATGTGGACATTTCACAGACACACTGGATGAGACATTCAGTAAAGTGTGACATAACCAATTGCATTGGCGATGTGTGGATATCATCCTGGTCAGCATGAATTGGAGAACAAACCATGGTGAACTTTAAACACACTTTTGACAACACCGTCATAGTTCCATGGAACACGCTAGTCAAAAGACATGACAAAGTTCATGAATCATGCTGGCAATGGCCAGCACAAACATGGCTGAGCAACTTTTGTTCAAATTGACCCAATCAAGAGCTCACAGACTGACTCTTTGCACAAGGTAATAAAATACACCAAGATACCCAAGAAAATGCCTATGACAGCCTGACAAGAATAAGAACTGGAATAGGTAGAACAGCAATCCTCCAGTACAAGCACTTCTGCTTTTGAACGATTTCTGGTGTGCCTTCAATGAAACTCTTTCCAATAGCGTGATGCCCAACATTGTTTTGTGCCTGCAGGTGTGCAACATGTGGCTTGTCGTACCATGGCTGTCCAGGGCACTTTGGACACATCAACCTGCCCGTCCCTGTGTACAACCCCATTTTGTTTGGGTGCGTTGATTCATCCATACGAAATGCAGAGGAGAACAACCCACATAATCGTTTGCCAGATACAGCTGGTGTCCATTTGTGTTTTTACTGTTGCTGGACATACAACCCATTTGTGTCATCCGTTTTTGTGTGGCTGGGATTGTGCCAGGTGTCCTTCAAGTATCTCTGCTTGCCTTCCCCTATTGACATGAATGCTAAACTCTATTTCTGACTGCTGATCGCATGTGCACAGGTTTCTGTATCGAATACTCAAATGTGTTTGTCTTCATTGCTTTCAATTCAAAATGCCAGCGGTCGAGGTGAGTGTCACATTTGGACGCCTCAAAATATGTTAGTCTGGGGTATTTTCTTCCTGAACAGCCTGTTTTGCACGTTCCTGAGCATGTTGGTTGTTTCTATTAGTTCCAGTTGCTGCCCTCAACAGGCTGGTGTTGGAGGGGCCAAAGGCACACCAGATTTTGATAGTGCACTGCATAGTACACACTGCTTTGTTGTGAGGCATTGCCACACAATGCACTACATCTTTGACAGGCATCATGAAAGTGCATATTTCTGATGTTTCTGGGCACACAATGATATGCTTATTTTTTCTGCAGGTGTCCAAATTTGCCAAGCGATTGCGATTGCTACATCAGGGCAGTTTGATGGAAGCCTTGGCAGTTGATGTGCAGAAATCTGTCAAGGTAAAACTTTGAGTCACCCAATGTCTGTGTTGGTTTGTTTATGGCAACAGTTGTTTCCATCGGAAAGGATTTCGTTGATGGATACTGCAAAGGCAATGTGTTAACAAACAGGCTGGTCCTTGGAGACATTGAAAAGGATTGTCATTGCCCAAGAAAACTGTCAAGGTCAGCTATTATGTCGTGTGCATGATGTTTGGTCAAAACATGCTGGAAACGTGCTGAACAGGCGCTGCCTCCTTGGCTATTTCATTTTTCAGAATGGCAAAAAGGCATGATAGAGCCCCTGTACACAAAATGACTGGAACACTAGCATCTAACCTGTATCCGTTTGGTCCCCAACGAACATGCCATAGTGTATTTAATCCTTCCCTATTTTGAAATTTCAGCCTTAATGTTTGTCCTCTGCAGTTTTTCGACAGACCGTTATTTGAGGAACTCCTCATCATAGTCACAGCCAGAATGGCGACTCCACTGAGTTTGCAAAGCCTCAAAAGCTGGTTTTCTTCCACGGCGACTGGAGCTGCCAGATGCCACAAGCAGTCCACAGACCCTCACATTGCAGCTTGGGCTGCTGCACATTTTCTTGGCACCATTACCTTTTAATGTTGCTCCGCATAAAAAGGCCAACTGTTAAGTTACAATGCAGAAGGGTGTAAATACTGTAGTAGTCCTGAGCACAGGTTTCCTTGTGCTGCACCCCTCAACACCTTGACAGCTTACTTGGGCTGCCTCTGACCTTGGATCATTGCAGCACACCAGTCTGTTGATTGTTGTAGCAGTAGATACGATATACGGTACACTGAGTATACTTGGCAGTGGCACCAGACGGTGAAACCGTTGTTCGTGCATGCCACAGGAATTCAGCAAAAGTCCAAACTTCAAAGGTGGTGGGGACAGTGTGGAGAAATTGGCGAATGGTAAGAATGCACAGTGGTACCACACCGGCACTTGACATCATGAACAGCAGCATTTTAAGCAGGGGGTGCCCAACAGCGGTGCTTGCTGGGTGTGTTGTGGTGGCATGGTGGATCATGGATCATGCTGTTTTTCGCAGCAAGTGTTCTTGTGGTGAGTGAGTCCGCATGGATAATCAACACACATCAGGAAGAACACGTTGTTGGGCTCTTAGATTCACTGGAAGTTGTGGCCTCTGTGCTTGATTTGAGTGTGTGCATTCTGCACTTCTCATTTGCAGATCGTTTGCTTTTTTGCATTTCTCAGGTTGGCTTCCATGCAAAGCTTACTTACAATCGTTTCAGTGTTTGTGCACAGGTGGAATCGGGGATCAGCCACAACGACTAGAGTCACTAAGCTCCCACGTTATCGATGCCATACAGACAACCCTTGGCGAATTCGTAAGCCGGATGACCACAAAGGCCCACTGCGAGAATTGTGGAGCACAGAACCCCATCGCCAGAAAAGAGCCGGGCCTCAGAGTATTCCTGAACTCCCTGACAAACGCCCAGATCATGAAGAACCACAGGAATGGCACCGTGCTGGTAAGCATCGTCGGTTCAGGCCTTATAGCACAGGGCAAGAATGGCATGCCCCAGTACCTCACACCCCTGGAGGTGCGAGAGATTCTGAGGAAACTGTGGATCAAGGAGGCCACGATCCTGGAGTTCATATGCAAAGCCACTCGCGGGATGGTGGCCTCTGAGGGCCAGGGACCCTGTGGATACAGGTCACTTTTCCTTCAGGTGGTGCCAGTGCCACCAAACAAGTTCCGGCCAGCGAGTTACGAGAACGGGGTACCCTTTGAGCACGCACACAACGTATTCTACACAAGGATCATCAGCTGCTGCCACGATTTGATGGCCTTGGGGGAGGCGAAGGATGAGAGCAACATTGAGGACGTGGAGGTGTTCCGAATGACAGGACTGAGGCAGGGCATGTCTCTGTGGGCACGGCTGCAGGTGAGCAAGGGCTGTTTTGAGAAAGTAGCTATAGTGTTAGGCAGGAATTGATGGCTACTTTATTAGCATAGTTGGCACTGGTGTCAATCAAGGAGCAGTCCCTGAACAACATGTCAACAACACAGTTGGCAGCATTTGCGGCACTGTGTGGATGGTTGCTGCAAACCTGCACCAGATTATGTTCAGGCCCAGGAGCAATGAATGCTATATTGAGCACATATGCAATTCTGTGAAACAGAGCACATGTTGCACAACTCAGAAGCGTGTTTGCTAAGGATATGGTGCCTTAGGAAAGATTTGATGCTGGGTGGAAGGTGGGACTGGTGCACAGGATTTGCTACCAGTCTGGCCTTTTGTCATTACCAAGATATTGCGTCACGTTTTAGTGTCCAGTTCAATCAATCTGGCCCTGAACATATATAATGGACACAAAGGAACGCATTTGTGTGGAACTGTTTCACGACCTTCACTCACATCCCCCGAGGGGCTGCATTACCCACGTGGAACTGAAGGCAAGGTGGAAGTGAAGTCTTGAGCTGATGCACGAATTTATGGCAGATGATGTATGTCAGCTGGGCAACAGAGAACACATTTTCTTGGTTCCTTCGGAAGCTAATTTTCCATAGTTCAACCCCCTGATCAAGCCAACTGTGCCACCAGTTCAGGGTGGGTCGGTTAGTTGAACTTAGTGCCTGTTGAAAACATTGCTGAAGAATCGGACTGCCCGGCTCTTCAACTGAAGTCTTGGTCCCAGATGCTGGGTGTCCAGCCGACGACTGGGTCAGTTGTGAGCATCCAAATTGTTTGGCTGCGCGCAGGAAGCCGTCAACAACCTGATGGACAGCACCACAGCTCCTGCCAAGGGCTTGGGAGACAGGGCCACGCCAGGGATCAGACAGGTGCTGGAAAAGAAGGAGGGGCTGTTCCGGAAGCACATGATGGGGAAGCGTGTCAACTTCGCGGCCCGGTCCACCATCTCACCGGACCCCTGCCTTGGTGTTGGAGAGATTGGCATCCCGCCGTACTTTGCTAAGAAGCTGTCGTTTCCAGAGAGGGTGACACCGTGGAATGTGGAGGAGCTGAGGCGATTGGTGGTCCGGGGTGCCTCGGAGCCTGGGGGAGCTGTGGCAGTCGAGGACGAGAAGGGGCGGTTGATTTCGCTGCAGAAGATGCCGAGATGGGTGAGCGGTGGTTTCTTGTGGCACTCTGGGCTGTGGGCAGAGGGTATGCATGCTGAGCGAGGTGTCCAACAGTGCGTGGTCATCATGATATGCCACGCAGCATCATGTGATCGATGAAAAGCAGGAAAAATGAGGAATTGATCAAAAGTTGGTGTCAAGCATGTGAAGGGTGCGTGTCATGCACCGATGGAAACCAGAATAATCTCTTAAAAAGGACCAAAAAAGGTAAATGAAGATCAAGATCATGTCACTGTGGAAGTTACCGTTTGCAGGAATGTCAGATGCCTGGGAGATGAGTGTTGATCCCATTTTGTTGTCAGCCAGATTTTTGCAAGAAGGGCTTGAGTAGCAGTTGGTGGCTCATAGCAGTCAGATGCTGACTACAAGCCCAGCAATTGAGCTGTGAGACTGGTGGCATCCTGATGTTAAGTCTATTGGCACTATCACCCAACAACTTTGTCTGTTCCATTCTGCTTTCACCAAATGTAGCAACTCCCTGTACTATCATTGCTCCAGCGACGAGAGGCCATCGCGAAGTCATTGCTTCTTGTGGAGAGCACCGATTCGTCCACCATCAGGAGCAGCATGGGAAGCGACAGAGGCAGGGGCCAGGGCTTGAGGCGAACACAGTCCAAGATCGTGTACAGACAAGTGAAGGATGGGGACCTGATGCTGACCAACCGCCAGCCCACTCTGCACAAGCCAGGTCTCATGGCCCACAGGTGTGGGCTGCTGAACCACTACTCCCGGATTAACAACTATGATTGATCAATGGCATTGCTATGTTATCATGAGATTATGGAACCATGGACCTGTGGAATTGCACCCCAGAATGCCTTGTGCCAAGTGTTACCGTGATGTTTGTCATGGTTATGCGACTGTAATCAAGTGGGCATGCCTGCATCATGTCCCCAGGGTTCGTGTGCTGCATGGCGAGAGGACGATTCGGTTCCATTATGCAAATTGCAAAACGTTCAATGCTGATTTCGACGGGGACGAGATCAACCTCCACTTGCCACAGGTGCGCCTGGTCGAGTTCTCTGTGGTGCATTTGCCTCCACAACAAAATGGAGCCTTTGCACCTTGCAGGCGATGACATCCACATATGCATGCAAGCCATTTGTTTGTTCATGTGGACTCATTCATTTATTCAATTCTCCACTTGCCTCACTTAACTGCAATGCATGCCAGTGGTGGTTATTCGAAAAGGCATACCTGGCCCACTGCAACCTGACAATGACACAATCCACTTTAGCGGACCACATCGAAAGTGCAGCACCTCTTTTTGACACCTTCCAGGTAACGATGAGCGATTGCATTGTCGAAAATTGGCAAGGAATGATGCATGTCACAGTTGAATTCAAGTTAGTTGCTGAATTGTTATTGGGCAGTTCACGTTTCTGCTGGTGCAGATTGTCTGGTGAAAGAGCATGATGGAGATAAATGGCATACTGTGGGGACGGCAGCACACCGCCTTGGCTTGACACCTGCTGTTATGTTATCAGGCTTTTCTGAGCAGTGCCACACGTGTTCCGCCATGACATCAACTGTATATATTATTGGAAATCGAAATTGGAGAGACTTGTAGGTTCCTAGTGGAAATGCCCTTGTGCTCGATGTACACCACTGTCTGGCGTTTGTTCATGGCAGCAGACTCGCAGACTTGGCTATGACTTCATGTGCATCGATTTTGGGCACTTCTTGTGTTGTCTTTTTTCTTGTAGGCGCCTTCAATTATACTATCCTTGTATTTTGTTTAGTGCTTGCTCCGAGTTCAACTGAGCGCCAAAGCCATATCGAGTTGCATGACATCCACTCTCGTCCTTGAGCCTAGGCATTGAACTGGTGGAATCTCCAACCAGGTTGACATTCAGACCAACTCTGAACTGTAGTTTATTCAGTGTTGCATATGTCATCTTGATAGTGTGATTCATTTATACCCAGTCATACTAACTTTGTAGGATGGTTGACAGTACATCATCAATGTCAACACCCTCCGATCCTTTTGCCATTTGCACTGCAACGTCCTTAAAGAGCCAACCTAAGTGTACCACTCTGGTACCACTGCCCAAGGAAGTGTAGAATAATGTGCAGGACTAAGAGTGTAAAATGGCGAAAAAGGTAGATAAAGAATGCCAGGAATGCTTCGATGCCATGGAAAGTAGTGCCAATGCTGGTGACGCACAACGACACACATGCAACAAAAGAACATTGCTGACAAGGAAAGATGTTTGAGCGAAGCTCTGCACACGCCAGGATCATCTCTGCCGCGCAGAAGGCTATGGCATCGTGCACGCTGACCACCAGTACATCGTGCCAACAGATGGCAAGCCCCTCCGGGGGCTCATCCAGGACAGCATCGACGCTGGGGTGCTCCTAACGAAGAGGGACACCTTCCTGCGGCGGCACGAGTACATGCAGCTGGTGTATGTGGGCCTGGCCGCAAATAAGCGGTGCACAGACGTGTGTGTCCAAAAGGTAATGCTCTTCTCCTCAAGTATTACGTCTCTTAAATATAATGTGATTGCTTGGAACAAAAAGAGGATATTGATGCTTAGGGGCGAGATAAACAATTGCGCAAGTATGGGAGTATGGTGGGAGAAATGGTGTGAGTTGATATGTTGGAGATGATGTGGAGCACAGTGAAATGAACATGGAGATATGGAGCATACTAACTGAGATGCACTTGCAGTGAGGTTATTTGACTGATACGCTCATCCTGTCATTCATTTGGTTGCGGCTTCGCTTCTTGTGTCTGGGAGCAACTGTGTGCAAGGAGTCTTGTCTTTTTCTCAATGATATTGTACTTTCTCATCGAGGTCCAGAGACTGCATCGCATAACAGCGATCACAGGCCTCATTCCTGCTGTCAGACCTCTTGCCACCATGAGAGAAAGCGCAGGAGGAAATCTGGCCTGACAAGGATTGGCCACAAGATGCACGGCATTATTCTTGGAGCTCACAGAGATCCAACGGTCTTGTTGTCACATTGACTGCGTTTCTTTGCTGTCCATTGACACCAACCGTGCTGGCACACTCGTCCATTTTCTAAGCAGTGGCTGGGCGATTTCGCACTACTGCATCCACAGCAGCAGACACGGGCGATGTGCAAGCCGTTTAAACAAGCTGAGTGCTTGCTAAGGGATTGCGTCGAACTGCCATGCTTTGTGCAGGAGGAGCAGGACAACTTTGGCATGGGAGGGCAGCTGGATGAACCGAATGGCGCAGATGAGGGCGACCTGGAATTTGAGCCGCCCACTATATGGAAGCCGGCAGCGCTGTGGTCCGGAAAGCAAGCCATCTCCACAGTGCTCACAAATCTTGTCAAGGGGTTGCCACCCATCACGACTTCAGGGAAGGGAACGGTAATCTGCTGCGACTACACATTCAACATTTCTTGGGAATGAGTGACTCTCAAGCATTGCTCGTTTTTGCATAAAAATACCTCAATGCGCGCTGTGTTCGCGCTGTAAATGACAAGCCTGGGAATGGCATGCCGTTGGCGAGTCCAGATTAGCACCGACAGCCATTGGTCATTGACGCCAAGTGCGATCACGACCACAACATGTGCCTGCTGTCATAGAGGTTGGAATGTGCAAGGAAGAGGGCGCTGCTGGGAAATCATTCGCATTGTGCTCAACAGTTGTCAAGGGCGCACACGTAAAGTGTTGTCCCGTGGGTGGCCTCCCTGATGCCTTCCCTGGAGAATCCTACTGAGGAGGGGCCTCCATCCGCGTCCAAGCAGTTTTCGTCCCGGGAGGAAAAGTGCAGAAATACCCGTTCCGGGACAAAAATAACAGAAACAGATTGATTGCGAAGAGTCCCTAGGACTCCGCATAGTCCTAAGCGCAGCGTTCAAAGTTTTCCCGAACTTTAGGCGCTGTGCTTGAGACTGTGCAGAGTCCTTGCCACTCTTCGCAATCCATTTGTTTCTGTTATTCTGCAGAAGTTCATTTTTTGAAGTTTGTTCTTATAAACTCTATTTCTGGTAATGTTATTTGTTGAGCATCTTTTTGCATGTCTTTTTAAATACTTCTTTGTGAATTCCATTTTGGAATTTCGTTTGCCAAGGTGCCTGCAGAGTACTGGGGAGACAAGGACGAGGGCGGCTTCGTCTTCCACAAGGGCTACTACGTGTTTGGCGTCATGGACAAGGCGCAGTACGGGACCTTTGGCCTCATCCACGCGTGCCAGGAGCTGTATGGCAACCAGCTCGCCGGAAGGCTGCTGTCTGCCCTGGGGCGCCTGTTCGTGTTCTTCCTACAGGAGCGAGGCTTCACGTGCGGTGAGTGCCCTCCTGCAGGGCGCAAAACGATGTGTCATCACATCACGTCACGCCCAGAAAGATGAAAATAATTGAGGCTTGATAGAGTAAATATGCAAGTGATGATTGTACTGAAGTAGGGAATAAGGTGAAGAGTTGCCTGTTTCATGCATTTTCTGCACGTTTGCAGAGTGTGTGACATTTTGGAGAATCTTAAATCTGTGAAATCGTGTGCACAATCGCATGTTAAGTATCAATGTGTAGGTTTAGTTTCCGTGCGGTTGTCGCGTCGCCTTGTGAATGTGCATAATTATAGTTGCAGGCGTGTTTAAATGGACAAAATCCGTAATATTAACAGTATTTGGGCCCAGAATTCATGAAACGAAATGTCTGCAAGCACCAGCAGTTACTGCTAGCTTGAAGCTAGTAGCGACTGTGGTAACAACTAGCAAGTAAGTACTCAGTAGTATTTAGCAACAACTAAGTCAGACTTGTATATTGCCAATGCCAATGCCACCGCCATTCTTTTCTCCTTGGCTTTGGGCGATCAGGGCAAGTGCAGAAGTTCCGGCGTCACTTTCAGATTCCTCCATCGAATTTCGATGATTTCGCTTGTTGGAATCGCAATCCTCGGGTGTCAAACACAAGGCCGCGGACCCCTCAATGTGAAACCAGGCCTAACCCGCGAGCACACTGAATTGCGTGTCCGCACTGTCGGCCATGCGGAACAGGACCAATGCGCCTGCACACAGCCATCATCACAGTGTCAGAGACTCTGTCTGGAGGCGGGCTGTGGCTCACGCCATCACAAGAAGAACAGCCGTGCCAGGGCACAAATGCCCGATGCCCTTGATTTCCAGACGTGAAAACATAGAGGTGATGCACGTCGAGAAGATCTGAACTCATGAGTCATGAAGTCATGAAGGTCATTTTCGGGCATTGGGTGCTTACATATGTAAGGTTTTGGGCCCCTAGTACCCTTTGTGACCTTCGTATCCCGTAATGACAGGTATCGGACAATCCTCTGCCAGGGTTCCCTGCGCTGATTCCACTTGGTGTCAACTTGGTGCACGCCTCAGGACTGGCCGACACCCAACTGCTGGCAAAAGCTGAGTCCGAGCGCCAGGAGCTGTTGAACGGGGCGGAGTGGAAGGCGCTGGCGGCCTCTGCCAACGTCATCGGCGCCGAAGTTCCTGAGGAACGGCCCAAGTCCCGAAAGAGACAGGGCGCCATGGTGGCGAGTGTGGCCAAGGCCCTGGCGTCGAAATATAGGGAGAACGCCGACACGGGGAAGGTCCATGATTCCAATGTCACGGGTATGAGCAGAAGGAAGAAGAAAAAGGTGTCCTACATACGGTGTTACGACAAGCATGTGCATGTCACCGTCCGTGCTATATACGCAATACATCACACATCAGAACGTAGTATGGCCACGTGCAGCCCCATATGAGCAGAAGTAAATTGACATGAATTGTGTGGATTCGAACAAAAACATGTGCTTGGAGCCAATGCCCTACATCATCAAGTTGGTACAAGGATTTTGCTTAGTCACGTGGTAAATGAAATTCCAACGAGGATGTAGGTGTAGGTGGATGGGATGCTGGACAAATTAGCTGTGGTGGAAACACACTGACTTCAAAATGTCTAAACTAATCAAGTTCGGGTGAAACTGGGAGCACATTCGCCGATATGGACACTCTATTGAAAAAACAATTCCAACGCTTTGGGTCATTGCCATTGGGCCCTATTTTGCGCATTGGCTCAGTGCCTGTGAGTGGTAACAACGGCATTCTGCGATCTATGAACGCAGCAGATCGTGGCACTCTGAGGTACTCGAGTTGTTGGAATTGAATTGCATAAAATAAGTCTGAAATGAGGCGAAAGTAAATGCTTCATGTCGAGCTGAAGGTGGTTGGTGCCGCACTTCCCACATTGTCGCGACAGGGACAAATGTTCAGGTTACAGCAGCTGCATACATCAGTCCAGCCATGTTTGTTATAATGGCCCCTCTTGCGAATCAGGATTTTTCGTCACTGCATTCAGATTGCTCAATTGCAGCACTGATGCAGCATGAACTGCCGCCCTAACAGCGTTGACCAAATGGCTGTGTGAGAGCCAGACTAAACATGCTGGCATTAGTTGTTCTGAACGCCTTCATGGAATCGCCAACGATTGGCAACTGAAAAGCAACCATGCAGTACCGTAAGGTGGCGAAGGCAATCGTTCACAAGACAGCGCAGTTCACATGCTATCCATTGGGTAGCATGCTATCCATATCACCTTGGCAAAGTGATGACAATCTCCTAAGCCATTGGAAAGCGCTTTGAAGCGCCTTTGAAACTTCCTTGTAGGTGGATTTCGGAGCAAAACTTGCACATACGCTTGATCGAATGCACCTGGATTCTGATGGCGCACGCACTTGGTGGCGCTGCAAAATTGCATAATGGCAGTTACAGCCGCAAGTATGCCTGGATACATTGCCCACGCGGGCTGTGAGTGTGCTTTGCCACACACTAGATGTCTCCACCACCTTGCAATAACTGCATGGCATGGCCTCGATTTAAGTTGAATAACATGCAGATATACTCGACACGCAAAATTTGTTCATTTGACAATGCCCACGCCCTTGTGCCCCCAACCAGCCCACAGCCTATGCCTTGCTGCTGGAAGCTCGTTGCTGACAGGCCGCAAGTAGCGAACTGTGGCACTATTCCATGCCTAGAATTCAAGCTACACTAAAGCAGTATGTCAAGCTAACCTTGTAGACTAGCGGATCAACATGCAGATATACTCGACACGCAAAATCTGTTGATTTGACAATGCCCACGCCCTTGTGCCCCCAACCAGCCCACAGCCTATGCCTTGCTGCTAGAAGCTCGTTGCTGACAGGCCGCAAGTAGCGAACTGTGGCACTATTCCGTGCCTAGAATTCAAGCTACACTAAAGCAGTACGTCAAGCTAACCTTGTAGACTAGCGGATCAACATTAAGCAAGGCGCTGACGGCGCCAGTGTGTGTGCCAAAGGCCCAATGCACCAAGTGTCGTCTGCGGTCGTGAAGCAGTGCCTGCCGCACGGCATCGTCAAGCCCTTCCTGCACAACAGCCTGACCACCATGACCATCGCGGGCGCCAAGGGCTCCTTCGTCAACTTCTCCCAGATCGCGTGCCTGCTGGGGCAGCAGGAGCTGGAGGGCCGCCGCGTGCCACGCATGACATCGGGCAAGACGCTGCCGTGCTTCGCGGCGTTCGACCCGGGTGCAAGGTGGGTTGTCTCGGTATCGCACAGCAGATGAAAGGGCATGATTTGCTAATTGTGCAAATATCGTTTGCTATTGGTGTATGTATTCTTACATGCCGACAATGTGAACAGCGAGCGGTGGTGCAAATACAGAAGCGTGGTGGGCAAGCGCTGGCTCGATTTGCATGCTGGCTATACTGGTTTTGTGCTGCCGTGCACTCAACCATTGGCGTTTCTATTTGACGCCAAGTGAGAGGCTGCTTTGTTGATTGAGTGCATGATCCACTGATCGATCCACTGGCTTGTCCATTGCTGCTTAGTGTGTTGTTGCTTGTTAATGGGCGGGTGAGGTGATTTATGGACTGAAGCAGGCACTGACTGATCAGCTGACCTGCTAGTTGATTGACTAGTTTATCGATTGATGGATTGACTGGTGAATTGGTTGATCTACTGACTGATTGGCCTGGGTGCCATAGATCCGGCGGCTTTGTTGGCGATCGCTTTCTCACTGGCCTCCGCCCTCAGGAATACTACTTTCACTGCATGGCGGGCCGCGAAGGGCTTGTGGACACGAGCGTGAAGACAGCCAACAGCGGCTACCTGCAAAGATGCATGGTGGGACAATTTGTGCCGACTCTGTCAATAGTTGCGCCACGGCCGACGTCCGCTTTCCATTGCACTCAAGAACGACCTTGGACGCTTCTCCGCAGCAGCGCGAGTCCGCTCCATGCTGAGTTCTCCACAAATGTGGAGAGGTTCGGAAAGATACATCTACACGTGTGTGAAAGATGAATGCTATGCGTCGCATTCATCTTTTACGCATCTTCCCGTGGTTTTGACAGCATTGCAGGCATGTTTGCTGCCATTGCTTGCAGGAGAAGAAGCCAGCTTGCGTTCTTTGCTTACATCTTTTGAGTTTGTTCGTTGGCTGGATGCCGTGCTCGCTTTTCATCCAGCGTGCATTGCGATATTGCCGACTCGCTGTTATAACGCCCATGCCGTAAATCTGGCATCAGCTGGATGAAGATTGAAATGCGCAATGATGTGGTCGCAGATGTGATGTTGCTACAATTTATGGCAATTGAAATTGTGCCGAGATTTCTGGAATCAAATAATTCGCAATTTGCCACCCTGTGCGGTACATATGCACGCTCCTCTCGGGCAAAGCAACGCACAATTTTTCTGTGACAAAAGGCCCCACTTTTATCCCACCGATCGTTGGTTCCTGACTGCCATCCCACAAGAATCCGAGCAGATGGTTGAGCAATTAATCGATACTCATGGATAAATGCACGGGCGCGAGTGGTCCGCCACTTGGCCACTTTCCGCAATTTGTTCATGTTGCCTCGTTCGCCACATTCAATGCGCGAGAAACGTGGGCTTGAGGCGTTTTTGCTAACCATTGTGAGGTCTAATGTGAGCCAGAAAGGCCCTGATGCTGTCTGACGATTCCAGCTCTGTAGAGACACTTGCCATGAGCAATGTACCATACGATCACGTTGCCTTTAAAGGTACATCCATTCATTCATTGAATGTGCGAGAATGGCGGGTATGTAATGATACAATGTGACACAGTATAATGTATTATAATACGATATAGAAGAGGACAATACATCGTAATACAATCCAATGCAATATGATGGGCACCGCTGGCGACCGCAGATCAAGAGCATGGAGTCCCTTCGGGTGCAGTACGAGTACAGCGTGCGCGACGACAGCGACGGCTCCATCGTTCAGTTCCAGTACGGCGAGGACGCCCTGGACGTCACCTCCATTCCTTACCTCAAAAACTTTGCGTTCATGGCCAACAACTGCGAGAGGATCAAGCAGCAGCTGAGGGTAGACGAGGCCAAGGCGGCTGGGCAGGCGTTCGGGCTATCAGACGTGGAAAGGGAAATTCGGCGGACAGCGAAGTGAGCCTTGAGTCTATGTATTGCAGTTAAATATGTATTGAATCCGTACTCAAATCTATATGTAATTCAATGTGATACAACAGTGACAAACGTAGTCCACGGAATTGAATTCGACACATCTGTTGAATTAATTCCGCGGATTACGTTTGCCATTGTTGTATCAAATTGGGTTATGCATGCTGTGTTTTCATAGTTCCTATTATTGTAATGGGCCAGGCACACGACATCTCCCAGCCCTTGCAGTCGGCGACGGACGAAGCGGCACGCCGCTTTCTTGGTTGAGTCTTTGACTGATTGTTCTGTTTCATGAGCGATTGGATCCCTTATATGGCATACACAAATATGTACTGTACGGTACGTGTACCATAAACTGTATGGTACGTGGGGGCTCTGACGGCCGCAAATGCGAAGAAACGAATTTTATACTATTCCGCTGTTGACACGATCAGGAATCGACGCCAGCGGTTGAGAGGGGCCGGATGTCGCGATGGGGCAGCCGCAGGAGCGGAGCAGCTGCCTTTGATGAGCATCCACCCTCCGTCGATCATGGGTGTCACGTCGGAAGCCTTCGACAAGGGCGTGTCGGACTTTCTTGAGGACGACCCCTGCGGCGCATGGAAGGAAGACGGCAAATGCGCCGTGACCAAGAAAGGCGAGTCGAAACGCTTTCTGTCGCCTTGCACCGTTTTTCCCGAAATAATCAACATTTATGTTCGGCTATTGTTTGGATTGTCAACCTATCTTAATAGCTGGGATGGCTACCAATACAATTGACAGCCGGTCGTGCATGTCTAGCAGGTGTGCTGTCGTAGTCGCAATTGACTGTGGCTGACGATGCCTGGCCTTTTTGTTTGATGACGACGTGTCTTTTTAAGAACTCTAAAAGCCACTCGACCTGTCCGGAAATCGCAACATCGAAATGTGACAGAGAGTGCATCTGATGAGACAGCAATGCATGGTGACGACATTTACATAACCAGAACAATGTCCAGACGCACGAAGCCGGTGCGGAGCCTCCCGATATGCAGCGCTCAGCACAAACAGTGCTTCTTATGTAGTTGGTGTCTCACAACACCACGAAATGGGAGGTGCGGTCTGCTAATTGATGACGCCCGCTGTGCTTGCGTTTCAGAATTCGAGCAGCTTATGCAGTTGAAATACATGCAGTCGTTGATACCGCCTGGGGAGGCCATCGGCGTGATTGCCGCACAGAGCATTGGGGAGCCCAGCACACAGATGACGCTGAACACCTTTCATATGGCTGGGCGTGGCGAGGTGCGTGGCCCTGATACTGCTGCTGTTTGTTTCATTTGCTGTCTGTTGTTGTTGTGATTCCTATCACTCGTGGTCTGAAGCATTGCTGGCGAATCTGCTTTCTGTAACTTTAGTGTTTCCAGTCTTGGCAGCCGCCACAATCATTGCAATGAGAATGGGTCACATTGCTGAGGGTGCAGACGTTGTAATGCACTATGTTGTTGTGCTTGTTGCGCTGATGATGCAACATTGGGCATGCGACTTTGTCTTATGTTGTTCCTCTGGGAGTGTGAGGAATATCGATTCGATTCGCTTGCAATGAGAATTGCGAAGGCGCAGGGGGGGGACAGGCGTGTTGAAAGGGGCAAGCAGATGGGGTGTGAATTTTTGATTCTCACGAGAAGCGAAATATGGTCATTCCAAATGATGAAATTGTATGTCTGTCGTATGAAGCTGATGAAAGGCGTTCATTAGCAGGGTATATCACCTTCAGCTGGACGACGTTGAGTTGTCTTACCCTTTCTATTGCGCCCTTACAACTGTTAGGCAAGCATGCCGATTTGCCAATTGGCAAGTTGGTTAGTTCTGCATTTGTTGGTACGGATAATGGTGCGCCCGCCCGGGAGGTTGTTGATGGTCAATGGGCCCAAGCTTCAGTTCGAAACGTGTCCAGAGTTGCCTTGGACATACAGATCCAGTACAAGAATTTTCTAGGAATGGACGGAGCCTCCGTTTTTAACGAGCAGCACCCGTTTTAGGCGAATGTGTTGCGGGTGCAATGCTACATCGATATGATCAATGCAATCTCAATTACGGTTTCAGACACTTTGCGGATTGCGGGGGAGCTACCGCGCACATGCGCTGCGCTATATAAAGCATAATGATTGGCATTAAGCCAGCGCTATAAAGTACGCTCATTGATGTTTGTGTGGTGTCGGCGCCAGGCCAACGTGACACTCGGCATCCCCCGCCTCAGGGAAGTCCTCATGACCGCGTCCAAGGCCGTCAAGACGCCCGTCATGACGATGCCCTTGAAGGCGGGCGCGCGTGCGAATGACGGCAGGGTTCTGGCCAATCGGCTGCGGAGGATAAAGATGGCGGAGTGCCTGAAGTCGCTCAAGGTAGGGGCCAAGCTTGTGATTGGTAGTCGCGAAAATGTAAATCATATATTGACGGAGGCAGGCAGGCTCGAGAGGTGGCGACCCCTGACTGGGGACGGTGGGCCCCAGTACACAGCAACGGCTTACAGCGGAGCAAAGGGACAACAGGAGTTCTGTCCCCCATATTCAGTCCGTTCATCAATGTCCTTAATGCAAGTCCCGATGCCTCGTCACCCCTTTATGCGTCCAGCTGCTAATGATACTCAATCAGTTCTAGTTATAGTAATATCATCAGCAGGTCTTGACTTTTTCAAGCACTGTGCGAATGCGCCCTCGCATGTGCTTATGCAGCGTCTGAACTGCAGTTCACTGTATCTTGTTCCGATGGCCAGTCGTGAGACAACGAGAAAGAAAAGGGTTGCTGGCTCCCGGTGAAAGGACTGCGGCGTTGGTGCGAGAAAACATTTTCTGAAACGCTGGGAGCAGGAAGAAATGGGTGTGAGTCATCGCCATAATTAATTTCCCGGGATTGCATTCGTCATGCACTGACAGATCTCAGCCCTTGCACCTGACTGGCGACGACGGGCGTGTACAAAGAGAAAGGCTGAAGCAGAAATGAGGTGTGCTTAAACATCGATTTCTGCGGCGCAAATGGGCCATTGCATCAACAAAAGGGATGCAGCGATTGTCCACAGCCTGATGCTTCGAGTCACTTTCAGTCATCTACTGCCCATTTTGTGAAGCCTCCCTGAGCCGACGAAGGCACTAGTGACGCAGAATGCGGTCAAAGCGCGTAAAGAACTCAGGACCAATGGCATTCATGCCGCCGGACAACGATACGTGAAAGGGAGATAGTAAGCCTGCCCGTACAGTCGCAGCTTTGGCAGAATCTGTCTGTGAAAGACGGGAGCGCAGGCCATGCTGACATCTGATGTTTGTCTAGTCAGCTTTGTCTGAATGCGTATTCATGTCTGGTTCGTTGTGCTCATGCATGTGTCCAGCGGCTTGGCCGGGTTGTTATTTTCATCGCCGTCAGTCGTGTCCATGCGGCCACCCCTCGTCTACTTCCCCTTCGTACCCCTTTGTCTAATAATGAAGCATATTTTGGCGGCATCTCTGCAGCTTGTGGACGGACAGTCCATCCGTGAACAGGCGGACAGAGGTGTTATCATCTGTCTGTGTCCGCGAACCAGCTAACGTCTGCCCACTAATTCGTGGACGGACCGTCTGTCCACACAGTTGCAGACGGGCGTGGAGACCCCAGCGTTCTGAATAGAGGGAAAGGAAAAAGGACAGTCGTTTCCATTGCAATTTGGCCCACAAACTCGCAATGCTTCCAACGCACAGACAACAGACCAGTACCGAGGGCAGGACCAAGACCAGGACCGGTACGGGGACGGAGACTGGTGCAAGAATCAATTATTAGAGCTAGTTTAGGGTTTAAGTTTCTCAAAGTTTAGTTTTTTTTTGGGGAGGGGGGTAGGGTTTATATACCGGTCTTGTTGCTGGTCTCGGTGCAAGTCTATTGTGCGTATTGGGAACGCCCTCCATAAGCTCTTCTGTGGCTTGCACATTCGAGGTGGAGGAGTACCCCGTGGCCTCCATGGCTGCTTTCCCTGGCGGCTGTGGTCGGCTGTACGTTGTGGTGCTGGAGTTTTACGACATGTGCGAGTACCCCTCCGAGATGGACATGAATTTTGGCAAGTTGGAGGAGGCCTTCACAGAGCGCTTTGCGCCAGCCCTGAAGGCCGCAGTGGCGAAGGCTCTCAAGAAGCTGAGCTCTGCCGATGAGATATCTGAGGTGGGCCAGCAGCTGGCCAAGGCTGAACATTGCTGAAATTTCCAGATTGCTGCAGTAATTTGAAATTCCAGTTTTGCTGACGTGGCAACATCACAAATCGCAGTGTCCAGAAATACGGCAAAGTGCTGAGCGCCTTAAAACGGCTGTGCAGAGTGCACAGTAGTGGTTATTTGCAGTGCGGAATGTGCTTTGGATCTATGGTGCATCAGTCTGCAACTTTGGCATTGCGATGCGTCCACTGTGCAAAGACGAACGAGCATTGGGCATGTCAAGTTGTGGTACCAGGGTCCACCTGCAGGAGCGGTGCTGTAGTTCTCTCACATCGCCTTCAACATGTCACAAAGCGATGAGACAAGACCGGACAAGCCTGACTGTGGCTGTTTTGTCCGTGATCCAATGGAGCAGGTGAAGGTCTCCACATCGACTCTGGACACAGATGCTCCTGACGCTGCGCCGGGAAAGGGCACAAAGAAAGGCAAGTATGAAGACGACGAGTCCGACGAGGAGAATGAGGAGGGCAAGAGGATGTACGCAGGCGGCCGGGGAGAAAAGGTGATGTCCATTTCTGTTGGCCATGTCCATGCTTGAAACTGGCCTGCGTCTGCCACCGATCATATTTGCAAGTAAGTTGCACATGTACGTGCAGGGCTGCGAGCGTTAGCTACGGTGCTCAATTAGCATCGTGTAGGCATTGCGCATGTGCGTTGTGTGGGGATGCGGGCAGCTTTGTCACATGTTTCTTATTGTGTTGCAAGTGGTTTGCAGCTGTTCGATATGCGTGTATAGGCGTACAGGCGTGTATCGCTGGCGTGTAGATGTGTAAATTATCCACTCTCACCTTGCTGGGAAGCTGTTGCTGTTAAAACCGCGCGTCGCACCATTTTGGAGGCTTTGTGGTGCTTTTAGCGTTGGGTTCGATTTCACTGTCGCATTTCCTTGCCCGAGGGTCAATCGACGAACGCAGTCGAAATCGAAACGGAATCGAAACTTCGGTCTGTTTTGAGCGCAAGGATCGCGGCGTCTGCAGGTGACGTACGACGAGCCAGACGAGGAGGACAAGAAGGTGGCGGACGACGCCGACCGGGAGACCAAACGGCGCTTCGGGCCGTTGCTGTCGGGGCACGACGACGAGGAAGACGAAGACAAATCGGCAGTCAATGCCAAAGCGTCGGACGACAAAGCCGCCGGTGAGTCCTCCCATGCCAAGGCAGAACCAGGCACGCCGAATCCCGGCCAACGGGGCTCTTCTACCAGAGCGGATGTCGCGCAAGGATCCCGGGGATCGCGGCCGGCTGTCGATCGGGTTCCGTTGACGGCGGTCTCTGATGAGAAGGTGGACAGGGACGGTGGCCTGTGTGAGCAGTGCTTCAAGCTTCCGCTGGACGCGCCGAAGCTGCTGATGCTGGAGCTGGCGGAGGCGACCGCCGCGGAGACGACGGTTCGGGCGACTGCAGGTGACGTGAACAGCCCCGGCTGGCGAGCCTGGCCACGGCTTGCCAGATTGCCACCATCAAGTGCGCGTGGATCTTCACCTCGTTTCGGCCAGTTTGGTGTTCTTTTGAGCGCGAGTTGAAGGCAGCATTCAAAACGAGTGCGCAGCATTTGTTCTCCGACCGGCGGCAAATATCGGCCGAAGAACAAGAGTCCGGCGGCGGAACATGGCCCCGCAAAAGGGGACCAAGTCGTGCACCACAGCTCCGTTCTCTACGCGCCCACGCGACTCTGCGAAGCTTGCGGCGGCACGCTTTCCGGCAGATCACTCCCAGCTGTGGTGACGTCATTTCCGAAGCGCTACCTGCATCACCCGCGAATCAAGGACGACACGCCAGTGCTCACAGAATCATTTATTCCGATTTTCAGCCCCGCTGCCCAGCGTGACACCTACCCAGCCCTGTGGGGGGGATAATCCGGCACCTGTGTTTACGGATTTGAAAGGCCACGAAGGGATCACGAAGGTCATGAAGGGTACTAGGGACCTAAAACCCTAAAATCAAAAAATTACTCTACAACTGAAAATGACCTTCATGACTTCACACCTTCATGACCTTGATCACCATCAGGACTTAATGTCCGGACAATGAAGAACTAGTGGAGGCCAATGAGGACTCATGAAGGGCATCGAACGTTTGCGCCCGGTCCCCTGCCGCGCCCATTTTCTTCAACCCCGTTCCCTGCCCGCAGGCATCAAGAAGTGCTACGTCGTCGAGGCCAAGGGCGCCGGCGACTGGGGCTCCGTCCAGACGGACGGCATCAACTTCGCGGCGGGCTTCGCCAACAGCGATCTGGTGGACGTGGGCCGGGTCACCGCCAACGATGTGCACGCTGTCCTGGAGACGCTGGGCGTCGAGGCCGCGCGCAGCACCATCGTGAAGGAGGCCCAGGCCGTGTTCGGCGCGTACGGCATCGGCGTCAACGTGCGGCACATCGGCCTGGTGGCCGACTACATGACGCACCACGTGAGGGGCGGGCCGCAGGGCCCAGAGCGCCGGAGGCCGTTCCAATTGCGTTTTTCCCTATGTTCTCTATACATTGTCCTACGTATTTCCCTGTACATTTCCCTATATATTTCCCTACATTCCCTATGTACATATGTGCCCCAGACCATAAACGCCCAAGCGGCTAACGCTAACATCCAGCAGCCCAATCCTAACCCACTACTGCTTCCGCCACAGCCTGCGTAGGCATGCTGTGTATCGGAAATTGTGTGGAGCGCCCTGGCACTAATGCTGGCAGAGTATTGGCCGTTTTGCGCCATTGCTTTGTTCATCACCTATTCCAGATGTGGGTTTCGATTGTGCCAAAAGAGACCAAAGTTGTGTAATTTTCGTTTCATGCCATTCTTGCACTTTCACATTTTCCCCTTCAAAGAGCCGGGCGAGCAGAGCAACGAAATATCAATATCGGCATTCTCAGATCGGTCTGAATGGACCCCTTGTGGCGCCCTGCAGGGCGGATACCGTGGGTGCAATCGCATGGGCATCGCCACCAACTCCTCCCCTTTCCTCAAGATGACCTTCGAGACGGCGACCAACTACCTGCGACAGGCCGTTCTAGCAGGCGCCTCAGACCCTCTCCAGGCCCCCTCCGCTAGGATCGTTGTGGGCCGGCCACCGCAGGTGGGCACTGGGTGCATGCGGATCATCCAGAAGCTGTGACGAACAGTGCCTGCGGCGCTCAGGGGCCCACAAAATCTGGATTGGGGCTTGAGAACCATGATGTGGTCATCGGGAGCTTGGCGAATCGGAATCAGATCGATCTGATTCCGGTATCGAATTGAGAAATTCGATATCCCAATTCGGTGTCGATACATCCCGATTCGATATCGAATTGGGAATCAGAAGCGGATTCTGGTAGCTGGAGGCGGAGACAGCGTGGGTTTCAGCGATGCAGGCGCGACAGTCGTCTGCAGATTATCCGAGGGCCTCTGCCACAGGGTTCCTGTCTGGCCAGCGCGTCGGGAGTAGTGTAGTACACACATGGTAGGGGAATTCCAAAGTCTGCATTTCGATCTAAGTATTTGATGCGACAGACTCGTGGATGTTTTTCTGTGTGGGTGGGGGGGGTGGGGTGGGGGGGGAAGGCAAATAGGTGTCCAGGCAGGGTTTGCTGACCGCCACTGCATTGGCTCTGCAGCATATAGAATAGAATTGGCATGTCTCAGTAGTATGCAGATCATTCTGAAGCAACGCTGAACGTTTATTGTTTATGACGTTTGACACCATCTTTGGCGACATTGCTGCCAGCGAAATAATGGCTCTAGTAGCGACTGGGCGGCGAACCTAGCAATGCGTTCCCATTCCATTAAGGCGCGCTATGGAGCACACATGTGTGTTAGCACCATGCAGGCATTACGGTATCAGGGTTATATGTTCTGACCTTGTACGGTTATGATATGGACATTACATAGGCCTGTATAGTTCTGATTTCGGGAGGACAGAAACGACTATTTATTCACACGTGGTGAACACACAAGTCAGCAAAGGACGGGCTGTTCTCCGAGCAGTGAACGCATCGCTGAGATGCATTTACGGGAACATCAGGAGCGCCACCGCTGATGGCATTTTATGCTTTTATACCTTGTAGGCCTTCGGACACACTTATTAAGTTTGCTTTCCTCGATGAGCTGTCTCCTGCTGAACGCTACTCCTAAACTTCACAACGCTGCCACTATTGCCCTCGGCTACCAAACTCCTGCAAGCCACCCGCCCAAATGTCGGTCTGTTCCCATCCCATCCTACCTTGCACTAATTCCCACGCGGCGAAGCACGGACACCCTTGCCCCTGGTGCGACCGAAGCCCGCATTTTTAGGGCAAGCTGAAACAAAGGATCCTGGCGTCAAGCCCGCACGAGATACCTGCTCCCCGGCGCCGGGGGCTCGAGTTCCAGCGTGCCCGACGAGTCGTAGGCGTCCGCGAACCGGCAGTAGCCCCCCCTCACGTCCGGCGGGAAGGCGTCCTCCAGGCTGTCCGTCTGCTTGAGGTGCTGCACCCGCGACCGGCGCCGCCGAACCCTCCAGTAGGCGTACCCGGCGGCCGCCGCCGCCACCGCCACCAGGCCCGCGACCACTCCCGCCACCGCACCCGCCGCGGCCGAGGACGATGACGAGGCCCCCCCGCCGCCAGGCGCAGACGTCACGGATTCCGCCAACACCGCAGACCCCCCAGAGCTCGCCGGATCCGCGGATTCCCCAGATTTTGCCGACGCGCCGGATTCTGCCGACGCCGGAGACTGCCCGCCAGCCCCGGCGGCGGAGCAGTCCACGCCGAACACGGTGCCTTCCTCGCCGGGCGGGCACCCGACCTCGTTTCCGTTCAAGAGCACCTGGGCGCCCGTGGACTCCGCGGCCTGCACCAGCCAGAGGGGGATCCCTCCGCTTAGCGCGTTGTGGGACAGGTCCAGCGCGGGCGGCGGCTCGTCGGGAGACCGCCGCGGGCCGACCTGGCCGGCAGTGGCCGCGGCGAACATTCCCAACGTGGCCCACGCGTCCGGCACGCCACCCTCGAAGTGGTTCCGCGAAAGGTTGACGTCCGCGGCCGCCGGGAGCAGCCCGCCCACCGCCGCCAGGGTGCCCGTGAATCCATTCCCGGCGATGCTGAATCGGCGGATGTTTGGCGCCCGAGCAAGAGAGGTGGGGAACGTGCCCGTGATGTTGTTTTCCGCCAGGTCCACGACCTCGAGCGCCTCGGAATCGACCGTCCAGGCAGCGGGAAGGGCCGTCAGTCGGTTCCCGTTCAGCAGCAGGGTGGTCAGGGTCTGCGAAGCCGCCAGTCCGTCGGGCACGGGCCCCTCCAGCCGATTCGAAGACAGGTCGAGTAGGACAAGGGGCTGCCGGGCCCCGAGGTCCGGAGGGATCGAGCCGGTGAGGCCGTTGCCGGAAAGGTCGAGGATCCGCAGGGCAGCGGCCTGGGAGAGGGAGGCCGGTAATGGGCCCGTCAGCTGGCTGTTGGAGAGCGTCAGGGCTTGGAGCTTGGGGGCAGAAAAGGCGTCCGGGAGACCGGCTCCGATCGGGCAGTCCGCCATGTGCAGCCCCGCCAGCGCGCTGTCCTCAAGGAACAGGCAGTCCGGTATGGGCCCGGCGACGGAGTTGTTGGACAGATCCAGGAACGAGAGGCTGGCCGTCGCGAAGTCGCAGACGGCGTCCCCCAGCGGGGTGGGCTCCAGGGACCCCTCCCCCAGTCCGTTGTCGCGCAGACCCAGGTGTTCCAGCCGTGGCGCCAAGTCCTTGAGCTCGCCCAACAGGGCGTTGATGTCGCCAGTCAGCCTGTTGCCGTCCAGCTCCAGCTTCCGCAGTCTGGACAGTTTGGCGATTTGGCTGGCCGGCAGCTGGCAATCCAGGCCCAAATTCCGCATGCTGAGTCGGAGCAGGAATCCTTTGCTATCGCACACGTTGGGCTGCCAGTGGCAGAAGTCCAAGAAGCGGAACTGTCCAGCAGCTAGGCTGGCGTTGTCCGGCGGCCTCTGCGTCCATTCGCGACAGGCTTCCCCTTGGCAGCACTGCTCGTATATGGAATTCAGGACATCACGCTCATCTGCGTTTAAACTGCGGCGGGAATAATCAACGTCCACCTCCAACTCGAAGTCGATGCCCCTCTCATCCGTAGGGCTGCGACCACTGTCAATTACTGCCACACAGCAAACAATAAAGTTACATGCTTGGAAGCACACGCCTGAAACACGCTTGCTGCTCAACACTTGCTGAACGCATTCAAGCATGTGATGTTGCCAGCAGGGCCTGGAAGTGCAAACGTGTAGCTAGCTGGTTGTCTTGGATCAAAACTTGTCGCTGAATTCCTTGTATTGCATCTGCACCAAAACGGAAAAGCGTGGCCCTTGCTCTTTCAGTAGCTGACTGACATTTCGCCCCAAATAAAGGAAGTTTACAGAATAGGCAAACAAACCAGAAGGATCTGCCTTGATTTCTGACCTGCCAGGGCCCTCCATCCCAAAGCCAACACCAACCCCACCCACCCATCCACACACACCAGAGCACCCGTTCCTGGTTTGCTAGGGCACTTATGCCCTCCACGCTGCTGGCCCTGGCTAGATGGGTTTCTGGACAAACACTGCTTGAGCTATTTTGTTTGCCCACCAAGCGTCCGTCATAGCCTCGTTGCTCCCGGGCCTGAATGTACTTTGTGCATGGTTGTACGACACACCCGACCCCCGGCATCACAACCACACATCTTGTAGGACAAGGGTGGCACTTGGACACTGAAATTTGACATAATGCTTTGGAGCCGAAAAACATACGAATTGTTTCCAGTTTGGCTGCACGGTCTGAATGATCAAACTTCCTGGATGTTGGCCATTCTACTTTGCAGAGCATACCAGCTTGATGGACAGTATCCATTTGCAAAAATGATCAATACGTACTCTTCAATTTTCCTGCTGGACGATGTTTCATTGACCACAGCAGCCCAGAACACTTGCTCACGCTGCAAGCAGATTGACATGAACTGGGTTTATCCAATTTCAGAGCCACCAACATCCATTCATTCTCCAGTCACCCACTGCCCGCTAGCCTCTTCTTGCCTTCCCCAACCGATGTGCCTAAGCTAGTTTGCCATTGTCCAGGCAATGAATTCTAATCCCCTATTCACTTGCATCTTGAAGAAGACCTCTCCATTGGCTTTCGACAACCTGTGCATTGCCCACTGTCCACTGCACAGTTTCCAGAGGCTTGAGGCAGCTCGCTGCCAGTGGGAGAATCGCCATGGATACAAACAACCCCAGATTTGACATGCTCCGACGCATCTCAATAGGAGCAAGGCCCAGCTGCAGCAGCATTGCAGCCAAAAACGGATCCTGTTGGCTACACTTCGTTCTTTGCAAGGGAAACAGAGCGTCTATGGACGGCAACACAGCATTCGGCCCAACCCGACCCACCCTTTCTCATGCCTGCCAACCCCATTACCAAATCCCACTCCTCTCATTGACTGTGTGGCTACTCTTTTCCTCAGCGAACAATCTTGCACCGATCCACCCCTAATCCCCCATCACCCACCCACCACCCTCTGTTTCCTTCGCTTCCCATGACTACACGTTCACTTGCCATTCTTGCTTGTGCTGAGTGCTTGTCATCGTGCACTGCAAGACTCCACATCAACTTCCCTCAGCACGGAAACGAGTCCCCCCCACACTCCCTCAGGACGCCCTGTCTCCTCTCGAATTGCAACAAATATCCCCCCCGGCCCCCTCTTTCTTGCCTTTTGTGTTGCTCGCGTTGTGTGCTCGTCATTTCGCATCGGAGACTCTTCGTCATCTTTTCACAGCATTCCAAAAGTCTCTCGTACGCTTGCTTAGGAGCGGGTGCCCTTTGTCCGGCCTGTTTCTTTCTCCCTTTGTAACAAATCCCACCCCTACCTCCCGCTCACTCCTTCTACCCTCCCCACCCGCCACACCCCCAGAACCGACCCATCCACCCCCGCACCTGCGCACGCGAACACAGACGCGTTCACCTCCGGCAGCTGCAGCACCCTGTAGCTCTCCGACTCGCTCGAGATGAACACGAAGTCCTCCCCGCCCGCGTGCCTGCTCGCCCAGGCCGCATCCCCCACTCCCGGCACCGCATCCGCCGCGCCCGCCAGCTCCTCCACCGACGAGCACAGCAGATCGGCGTCGCCCTCACCGCCCACGGTGCGTAGCGTGATCATC